TTAGAGCTGTTGTGCATAGGGTCGCTATGAGTCGGAAACGACTCGATGGCACATAACAACAACAACAACATGTTAGATGCTATTTTGTCTACTGTGACTCACAGTGACCCTGTGAACAATGAAGCTGAACCTGGCCTTATCCTATGCCATTCTCACATCTTGAATTTATTGTTAATTCCTTTCCCTCCCCCCCAAATACCCTTAAGATGTATGTAAATAAGAACATACATGTCTGTGTTCAGCTTAACAGTCGAAATTCCCTTTATCATAAATAATGGGAAGTGGCTTTGGTCTTTATCAGATGCAGCCTTATATCCTGGATGATATCACTGATCTATTTTGAGTTCTGGGAACATTGGTGCTTCAGTGATGAGAGTCTCTGCATCCGTGCAGGAGATATAGGTCTGATTCCCGGCCTTTGTACATCATGCTTAGTCACTGCCTGTCAGTAGAGGCTGCTGTGTTACCCTAACAGGTTTTGTTAGAGCTTTCAGCATAGATTAAGAAGAAAGGCCTGCCAGTCTCTGTTAAAAAATCATTGAAAACCCTGTGGTTCTTAACAGTCCATTCTGCAATTGTTTATGAAGATGATGTAGGCCTGGACAATGTTTTATTTATTGTTACACAGAACTGCTGTGAGTTAGCAGCCAACCTAATGGCAGTTAACAATACTCAGAGTTTACTTGTCAGCATCAAAGTACTAGAACATAGAATGAAGGAAATTCTTTAGACAGGGAATAGAAGCAGGAAATTTATTAAGAGAAAATCCAATAGCAGTGAGTTCTGGAAGGGGATGGTAGGTAGAAAAATCACGAGACATAACTGGAATGAAGACACATGAAATAACATGTAATAACAGCTCATCAGGGTTTTTAATAGGAAATTCACTACAGAAAATGGCCTTTGATAGGAAAAGAGAATGAACTGAAAGTGGGTATCAGTCATGACATTAAGTTTCCAATACTTCTAATGTGTTTAGTGCTTGTGTCAAATGCTACCTTCTTCAGTTACCTATTTGAATCCATAAACAAAATACTCAACACATTGTTGACGAGCTGCAGCCCACTGATAACTGACCCTCCAGCAAATTTTGAAAGCTGTAAATCATATGAAAAGAGATTGCCCCTCTTCCTCCTGGGAAGTTACTGGTGTCTGTGAACCACCAGAGAGACACCACTCTGGGTTTAAAGCACAACTCTCTGTGGACTGGGCCGCCAGAGTGACCAGATTCCATGTGCAGAGTTAAACTCTCGGCCTTTAGAATTTGTCTGTGTTCAAGTGCTTTGTTGTTGATGATCACCGTCTAGTCAAGCAGCACTCATAGAGACCCTATAAACAAAAGGCCTGAAGCCTTTCTGTAACTATCATCATTTCTCCAAGTTCATAGAGTTTCCAGAGGCACGTGGTATAGGAAGTGGATGTCAATCCTGCTTCCAAACCTGTCTAAACTGGGAACTCCACCAAACACTGTCCACCATGGGTAACCATTAGGGCATTTGACACCTCAGTGGCACAAGGTTTAGCATCATAGCAACCCCAGGTTACCTCAGTACAGCATATTGACAAAGAGTGCTGTGCCACTAAGAAGAATGTTCCTCCAAAATATATTAAAAATCAGCTTTTAAATACAGACTCTTCCTGAGGTTTTGTTGACTCTAAACAAGAGGCTTAAGTAAAAAACAACCAATATAGTATGGTTTTGTTGTTATGTGCCATTGAGTGTATACTTCTTTTTTTTTTTTACAAATAAAATTTGATTCAATGCTAGCAAACTTATATAGTTGTTAGGTTCCATCAGGTTGATTCTGACTGATTTGATTCTGATCCTGTGCACAACATAATGAAACACTGCCGGGTCTGTTGCTATTTTCCTTATTGATGCTGTATTTGAACATGTATACTTTTGTTTATTTACTCAATAAATCACAAATTCCCTGCCTCCAGGATCAGTTGTCTGATTTAATTTTGTGTCCTTCACTAATGAATCTTAACTTTTATATGGTAATGTTAAGTAATTTTATTTATTTCTTAAATAAAAATATCACATTAACAAGATTCTGCTGAAGATTATCCAGAAATGACTGGAACAGCACATCAACAGAGAACTACCGAAAGTGCAGGCTGGGTTTAGACGGGGTCGTGGTACTAAGGATACTGTAGCTAATGTTAGATGGATCTAGGCTGAAAACAAGGAGTACCAGAAGAATGTCTATCTTTGTTTCATTGATTACACAAAGGCATTTGACTATGTGGATCATAACAAACTGTGGATAACTCTGAGAAGAATGGGAATCCCAGAACACTTGATTGTGCTAATGCAAAACCTATACTTGGACCAGGAGGCAGGCATCAGAACAGAATGGGGAAACACTGCATGATTCAAAATTGGGAAGGGTGTACGCCAGGGCTGCATCCTGTCTCCATACCTTTTCAATCTTTATGCAGAATAGATTATCTGGGAGGCTGGGCTCTATGAAGAGAAATGTGGCATCAGGATTGGAGGAAGAATCATCAACAATCTGTGTTATGTAGATGACACAACCCTGCTTGCTAAAACTGAGGAGGACCTGAAGCACTTGCTGTGGAAGGTCAGGGACTGCAGTCTTCAGTATGATTTGAGGCTCCATGTAAAAAAAACAAAGATTTTCACCCCTGGGCCAATTGGCAGCATCATAATGGATAATGAAGAGATTGAGATTGTTCACAGTTTTGGTTTGCTTGGCTCCACAGTCAACATTCTTGTCAGCAGCAGCCAGGAAATGAAAAGACGTATTGCAATGGAAAAGCCTGCAGGTAGAGACATTTAAAGTACTGAAGTGCAACAATGTTAGTCTGGAGACTAAGGTGCGCCTGATACATGCCATGGTCTTTGCAGTCACTTGCTATGCATCAGAGAGCTGGACAATGACTAGGGAGGATAGAAGGAGAATTGATGCGTTTGAGCTGTGGTGCTGGAGAAGAGTGTTGAATATACCATGGACTGCTAGGAGAACAAGCAGATTTGTCCTTCAGAGGGTGAAGCCGGGCTTCTCCTTGGAGGCAAGGATTCTGAAGCTTCGTCTGACATACTTTGGACATGTTACAAGGAGGGACAAGCCCTTGGAGAGGGACATCATGCTTGGGAGGGTGGAGGAACAGTGCAGGAGAGGAAATCCTAGATGAGATGGCTTGATTAAGTGACTGGGGTAATGGGGCTAGGTGTGTCGGAGATGTTGAGATTGGCACAGGATAGGGCAGAGTTTAGGGCTGTTGTACATAGTGTCACTATGAGTTGCAGACCACTTGACAGCACATAACAACAACAACAACAACAACAACAAATAAAAATTAATTGACTTGACTTTTAAATCTTTTCTAGGATATCCGGAATTTACGGTTTGCTCATAAACCTGAGGGACGAACAAGAAGGTCTATATTTGAGAATCTAATGAAATATGCATTCCCCGTCTCTAATAACCTGGTAAAATCCTTCTTATCTTTAAAATATTTTTATTAATTGGCATAGTATAAAGAAATTATCTAAGCTACCTAGGATCATTCATGTTCCTACTTTGCTGTTTAATCAGGTGAATAATAAAGGTTTCATTTAATCTCTTGGACCAGTTTCTTCAGGCATAGAAGCCAGACTGGCTGATTTTTTTGAGGCTCATTTCAGCACTCATAGTCTATAATTATATGATCTTTCCCCTTCTATTTCTGTTTCCATGATGAAAAGCTATATATATTCTTCATTAGTATTTGAGCACCTTTGGAATTGGAATTTAAGACTAGAACTAGCAATTTTGGGAAAGAAAGAAAGAAAGGTAAACATTAAGTTTCTTCTATGGGCTAACAGTGTTAAACACTTTCATTTATATTACATCATTTAAATTTTATAGTTGCCTTCTGGTGATAGATATTATTTTATACACCCCCCCCCTCCATTTAGAGAGCACTTGACTCAAGGAGATTGCTAATATAGGGTAGAATTTGAACTCAGTAATGGCCTTTTGACATCAATTTCAGTGTTTTAATTTTATATCACAGTTGTTTCTGTCATTATATATATAAAAATAATATATAATATTATATAAAATAGCAAATTTAAATGTCTTTATGGGTTCTCAGATCACTAATTATATGCAAACATTAAAAGTTGTTTAATTTGTTTTAGAAAATATAAGATGTCAAAGCTGCTTACCTTAGGGTAGCTACTATCTCAAACTGGTTAATTATATCAGAATATATCTTTGGTTTGTAGCTTTTACTTTATTGAGAAGCATATTTACAACAGCTTCCAACATGTTTAGAAGTTTGGTAAATCTTAGTGAAGGGTCTCTGTGCTTCTCTGTGGAAGATGTGTGAAAACCAAAAAATTTGCAAAATTTTAAGATAGAACTAAAACAACATAGAAAAGATTAATTAAAAAAATTCTCATAGATAGGGAAATAAAAACTTGGTAAGGATATTTCTTTTTTTCCCCCAGTGCTTTATTAATTTTTTTTTAAAATACCAGAAAGTCTCTTTTATCCTTTTTATAATATTTTTGTTGTTATTAGATGCCATCAAGTCAATTACCACTCATAGTGAACCAGTGAACAACAGATCTGAACCTTGCCCTACCCTGTACTATTTGCATGATCTCTGTCCTGCTTAGGCCCATGGTGGTAATCACTGTGTCAATTCATCGCCTTGAGGGTCTTTCTTTCTTTCGCTGATCCTCTCTACCTTTCCCACAAGGATATCTTCTCTCCAATGACTCCTGGTAAGGATATTTCTGATTCATCATCTCTGTAAACATCTTGCTCAGCTGCTAACTCTCTGTTTTTTCGTAGCCCCTTTTTGCCTTTGAATACAAAGAAGTATTTTCTGAAAATGGCTGGAAAGTATATGATCCTCTTTTAGAATATAGACGGCAGGTATGTATGTATTTTTTCCTTTTTGTAAGAATGTCTTTAGTTTAGTGTTCTCTGTTCTTTCTCTAACACCCCTCCCCCAGTATCCCCACTAGACAACCACAAAGCCTTTATGGGTAAAAGCAACTCCCTATAATTTTCCAGATTTTTACATTCTGGTTTTTAATATGAAGGCTGAGCCTGGTGGTTTGCCTTTTAGTTCTTTGAACAGCATTTCAGAGTACATTAATATTTAGGAACCTTTACTTTTTGTAAGTATATTGGTTTATTTTTAAAATGTTTAGCATTTTTCAATTCCGTAAAAATAAAATAAATGATAAATATATATAGGTTTTAAATTTTTACTATATACTCAATTCTTTACTTAGTGTTTTCCTTATATGTATATCCTATGTTTAACTCCTGTATTCTAAAATTCTGAAAAATATTTAACTAGCTTTATTACTTGTAATTTATCTTCATGTAAAATTTTGACAGTTTCATATCTTAGCAGAGGACACTGTGCATTGTTGTTGTATTATACTAAGATAACATTGACTTACTTTGGTCAGTACCATTACGGGAATGCCCCCACATTTGAACACAAATTCATAGTATTCAGACTATTTTATAGCTCTATATACAACAATAACAGCAATAAAAGCAATAGTTATAAATCTAACTCCTATTTGTAACCTTCATCAATAAACGGAACAGTTCTTTTACCACTTTCACTGTGCAATTTTCTAGCTTCCATGGTTTCTACTGAGAAATCAGCATTTCATCTTATTGAGTATCAGCTGATAAAATGATTTGGTTTTCTCTTGGTTGCTTTCAGGATTCTCTCTTTGAATCTTGGCAGTTAGAATCTTTTACTTTTAGGAGTTAGAATTTGATATGTCTCAGCATTTATCAGTTTATCATACTTGGAGTTTGTTGAGCTCCTTAGAGATGTAGATTCATGTGATATCACAAATGGGAAGGTTTTGGCCATTGTTGTTGTTGTTGTTACAAGTTAGCTGCAACTCATAGAGACTCTGTTTACAATAGCTCTGAACCATGCCTGATCTTGAGCCAGTTTCACTTCTCTACCCCTATTACTGCCTATATCCCCAGTTCCTGTGTCAGTTCATCTCATCCAGGGTCTAAATATTCTTTCTTCCCCTTTTCCTCTTATTTTCTTTTCCTGAAATGCCCATAATACATATATTGATTTGCTTAATGATGCCCCACTGATTTCTTCGGCTCTGTTTACTTTTCATATATTTTTAATTTTTTTTTTATATCCATAGACTCTATAATTAAAATTATCCTGTCATCAAATTCACTGATTCTGTTGTCTTCTCAAATCTACTCTAGACTACTTTGTGTAAAGTTTTTAAACATTTCAATTATTGTACTATGTAGTTTCGGAGAGTTTGGTTACTTATAATAATTTTTTTCTCTTTATTGATCGCTTTTTTGTTAATTTTTAAAGCAGATTTTCATTAGTTCTTTGTGTTTCCTTTAGCTCTTTGAACATATTTAAACTGTTGTTAGAAAGTTTTTATCTAGTATTTTGTCTAGGCTTCCACAGGGATGTCTCCTATATTCTGCCATTTAAATCTTTCTTTTGCATGATAAATCTTTTCTCTAACTCTGCATGCCATACTATTTATTGTTGAAAACGGAACCTTTGCATGTTATAATGTGGTAACTCCAGATATCAGGCTCTTTGCCTGCTCTAGAGTTGGTGGTTTCACTTTGATGAAAGATGTAATAGTTAATTTTTTTGGTCACTTTCCCTGTCTGTTTTTGCAGAAACAAATTTCCTGGACCTGCGTGTTGGCTGAACTTCTGTTCCTTTGTGTGTGTTCACCTCTTGTTTTGGCAGAGAACAAAACAAAACAGAAATACCTCTCTTAGTCTTTGTCAGTTGACTCTGGGCCAGTATCTTCCTTCATCAGTTAGCAAATTTGGCACTGAGCCTATGGATCAGCCTGAAGTAAAAATTGAGGCATCAACCAGAGGTGAAAGCATAGAGTCTTCTCAGATTTTTTTTTCTTAGATTTTTCTGAACTTTCATCTTTTATACATGTGGTTTTCTAAATGTCTGTGCATACACAAGTGATTTTGAGTGCACCAGACTGCCAAAGAAATGGGTTTTTCTCTCATACTTTAGAGGCATCTCTTGTCTGTCTGAATTGCACGCTCTAGATAGTACAAGTAGTGATGATATTTAGTCAATGCTGGCTGATATTTCACCCTATGTATTTTAGAATATGAACAGCATTCATTATTAATAGCCATACTTGTCAATGTCCATCGTGATTAGAAAGAGCATCCTGGAATTTGTGGATAGATCAAGAAAAACTTTAGTTCACTTTAAAAAGGAACGCTTTTTAAAAGTGTAACAGTGTGTAATACATGTGTGCTGCTAACCAGAAAATTGATCATTTGACTCTACCATCTGCATGGGAGAATAGTCATCTCCTTCTTTCATGAAAATTTGGAAACACAGAGGGTCTGTGAGTTGAAATAGAGTTGATGGCCATGTATTCGGTTTAGAAAATATTAAACGTTCAATATAAAAACAGTGAGCATGGTCTTCAGAAACTCTGAACTATAAATTAAATGTATTGTTTAATAAGCATGGAATACCCAAGTTCAATTAAAAAATCAGAATATACAGGGTTGCTGCCCCATAAAGAATTGGTAGATATTCCACAGTTTGAAGTGATGACATATAATAAATTTGTACTAAAGGAGGAAGTCTAAACTGCACTGATGTAATTGGTGAATATCAAGGCTCCAGGAATTGGTGAAATACTGCTTGAAATTTATCAACAAACAGTGATACAGTGCTGGCAGTACTTGTCTTTGCTGGCATATGAGGAAAGATGGCTACCTGACCAACTGACTGGAAGAGATTCATGTTTCCCCCCATTCCAAAGAAAGGTCATCATCAAAATACAGAAATTATTGAACATTATCATTAATATCACGTTGTTGCTGGGTACCATCGAGTCAGAACTGAACCACACTTAACCCTCCAGTGGGTTGTCAGAGACAGTTAATTACATGGGAGGAAATTGTCCATTTTTCTCCAGAAGGAGCAGCTTGGTGGATTCGAACCATGTTCTTTCAGGATTGCAGCGCAGATTCTTACCACTGGACTGTATATTTTACATAGGCAAGTAACATTTTACTGAAGATAAATAACAAATTATTACAGCAGTACATTGATAGGGGACTGTCAGAAATTCAAGTCAAATTCAGAACAGGACATGAAAGGAAAGATATCATTGCTGATGTCAGATGGCTCATATCAGAAAGCAGAGAATACCAGAAAGATGTTTACCAGTATTTTATTGACTGTGCATAGGCACTTAGCTTTATAAATCAACATAAACTATGGTTAATATTGCAAAGAATGGGGATTCCAAAACACTTCTGTGTGCTTGTGCATTGCATGTGTAGAGATCAAAAGATAGTTCTTGTAATAGAATAAGGGGATATTATGCAGTTTAAAATCTGGAAAAAATGTGTATCAGGGTTGCATTCTTTCACCATACTTAGTTTTAATTCTAAGCAAATAATTCAAGAAGATGGAATATATAAAAAAGAATGTGGCTTAAGGATCAGAGGAAGACTCCTGATTTCCTGGCTGCTGGTACCAAGAGTGTTAACTGTGGAGCCAAGTAAACGAAAACTGTTAACTATCTCAATCTCTTCATCATCCATATTAATGCTGCCAATTGTTCCAGTGGTGAGAATCTTTGTTTTCTTGATGTTGAGCTTCAATCCGTAATGAAGGCTGCAGTCCTTGACCTTCTGCAGCAAGCGCTTCAGGTCCTCCTCAGTTTTAGCAAGCAGGGTTGTGCCATCGGTGTAATGCAGTAGTTAAAAAAAATCTTTGCTCCTGCGTGCTACATAGTATTCCATTGTGTGAATGTATCATAATTTCTCAATCCATTTGACTGTTCTTGGGCATCTGGATTGTTTCCATGTTCTTATGTTGGTGAATAATGCTGCTATGAACATTGGTATACAAATCTGTTTGTGCTTCAGTTCTCATTTTCTCAGGGTATATTCCAAGCAGTGGAATAGCTGAGTCATATGGAATTTTTAAATTCAGCATTTTGAGGAAGCGCCAAACTGACTTCCAGAGTGGTTGTATCATACTAATTTTTGAATATCAAAAGACTACTGTGGAAGCAGTATAGAGAATGAGTTGCATAGGGTAAGAATGGAGGCAGGAAAGAAGTGGTAATGGCCTGAATTCAGGATGTAGTTGTAAAGATTAAGAGAAGTGGGCAGACTTCTGGCTATTACTTTTGGTATGAAAAGGATAGAGATTGGTCATTGATTGGCTGTACGCAGAGAAGGTAAAGATGATATGCAAGTTTCTAATTTGAATACCATTTTCTTTTAACTTAACAAATAACTCTACTTTTAATAATAGGATATGAATATTTTTCAAACCTGAAATGAAATCTTCCTCTTGTTTCTGGAAATAAGCAATAATCTTACCTGAGTGGTGGTTCAGTGTATATACAGTTGAACAAGAAGAAAAACAGGAGAGGAAGCTATAGAACATAAGGGGCAATTGGGGACCAGACTAGTAAGATAGGACAGTGTTCAGATCTATTGTTCACAGAGTTGCTGTAAATCTTCGTTGACTCAGCAGCACCCAGCAACAACAACAACAACAATGAAAAAACACCTGAGGGCTAAGGAGGAAGACTCTTAATTGTATTTATCACATGACTACTGGGAAGAAATGTTCTGTTCTTTACTAATTTTTGTTTCTTCTTGAGCTATTTGGCTGCACCTTGGTAAATAGGACTCTGAAGGAGAGTGAATCCTGGCTTCAGATTTGTGTAACAATTTAGTTAATTAAGATAATGATTATTTTTTTCCTTGAGGAACAGTGTAATTTTAGAGAAAAAGTATAGATTTAGAATTTATAGGAATGCTATTCTCTGTCACTTCCTAATGTATGGCTTTGGTTAAATTAGAGTCCATGCCAAAGTTTATTTACAAAATAAGTGAATAAAGCCTTAATACAATAACGTGTAAATATGTAAAGAGACTAGTATGATGCTTATGTATATTGGGTGCTCAATAAATGTATTTTAAAGTATAATTTGGTTTGTTTCATTTCTCTTTTTGTGATTTGAATTGGAAAGGCTCATATAATTTAGGAAACACTTATTTCCTTAATTCTAACCTACTATAGTAACTTACTATAATAGCTTTATTTTCAGTAGAACAGAAGATGGACTAATTCAGGTTTTATAAAGAATGGAAGGTGGTGTGAGGGCAGCCTCCTCTTGCCTCCACCAGCTTCACAAATGGGAGCAGTCCCCATCCAAACTATCCATAGATAGTACAAAACTGATCCCCATGAGGTCAGGCATGCCCCTACACGCTTACATCTACTTCTGCTAATTCTAACACCAACCATCTTGCCCAGGACACTCACTGCTTTGCTGCTAGATCTGAATCCATTGCAGTGACCACATAGAACTCAGAGCAGTGCTTGCTATTATATTTCAGGTTACAATTCAAGTTGGAAATATCCAGTTCTTCAGTTAGGACTGCTTCTTGGGCAGGCATGTTCACACACCCTTTGCCCTTCACACTCTCAGCTTTAGATCAGTTGTGCAAATCTCTCTTAGTTCTGCCAGTGATCATACCACCAGAGTGCTTCTTAGAGGCAAAAAGACAGAGTTTCATCTAACGTACCTTGGGCATCTTGCTAGGAGTGGTTATTCCTTGGAGAGTGACATCAGGCTTGGGAAGGTGGAGGGATGGCAAAGGAGAGGAAGACCCTCAACCAGGTGGAGTGACAGTGACTGCAGCAGTGCACTTGAGTGTGTGAGAAATTGTGGGGTTGGCACAGGAGAGGATAAGGTTTCAATCTGTCGTTCAGAGGGTCACTATGAGTCATACTTGACAGCACCCCTAACAACCACCACCACCAGACTTCCAGCCAGCTTGGGCAGAGGAGCCTGACTCTGGCTCTACAGTTGACAGTCCCAAATCAGCTCTCTCTCTCTGCTCTTGTTGCTTTGGTGACTCTCTCTCAGACTGTTTGTCTTGCACGGGAATCTCTGACCCTAAGAAGGAGCACTGCATTCTGTATTTCTTACTGGTGATGGTTTACTAATCTTCTGCCTCAAAACCCATTCAATTTAAGTTTGCAGGATGATAAAACTGCCAACCCTCTTATTAGTTGTCTACATACTCTTATTTGCATGCTTCTGTAACAGTCAAAGGCACTGTCCTACACATGTTATTTTAAACAATGAGCCCCGTAAACCACAGGTGTATTGAGTATTTCTAAGTTTACCGTGAGTTGTAACAATCACTTGATGGCAACTGGTAGAATGTGTAAACTAGCCTAAACACTCATTGTGACCTAAAGGGTTTCTAAGGCTGTAATGTTTATGGAAAAAGACTGCCACATCTTTCTCTCCTGGAGCTGGTGATGGGTTTAGTCTGTTGACCTTTCGTTAGAAGCTTAACACTTAACCACTGTGCCCACAGTTCTTATAAGTAAAACAGTACACTTTGATAAAATGGTGCTATTGAAAGACTATGTGAGAACTTAATGATTGTTGTGTTTTAAAACATTATTTTGCCTGATTTTCCTTTTGGCCTTTTGTTATTTCCTTTTTCTAATGTTGTAGATTAACAACATGCTCATTAGACTATTCTAACATAGGACTGAAATTTTACTTTTAGCTGTGTAAGTGTTGATTAAAGAGGATTCTGCTGATTTCTTAACCTTCAAAATCTCTGTATAGATGTGTAAAAAAAAGTAAGGGTCATGTGGGGATAGACTTATCTGACTTTAACAAACTTCACAAAGGTGAACTGTCCCCATTAACAACACCAGCAACACAAAACCACTTCCCATGAGGTCAGACATGTCCTCTACGCTCTTGTACCTCTTTCTATTCAACATCAATCTTACTGCCTTACTGGTTCCAAAATCTGATGTGATAGCCCACAGACCACATGGAACCATATCGGGGAAGTCCAAAGACTATAATTCAGGTTAGTAGCAGAATACAGTCAGGACAGCATCTGAAATGTGCTTGCAGGCACCTCAGCCATGAACTTTGAAGTTTAAGGCTAGTGTTATAAAGTTCTCAGTCTTGCCAGTATTGTTTCTCCCCCTCTCCATACTCCCACCCTCAAGTTCAGCAGCAAGCTTGGGCAAAGGCTCTTAGCCTAGCACTGCTTCTGTTTGTAGGGGGCAGCAGCCCCAAGCAGCACCCCATCTCTTGTCAGGCCTCTGGTTCTCTGCCATGGCCTCTGTGGCTGTTGCTCTGATCCTGAAGAATGAGTTGCATTCCCTTGCTTCCTTGCTTGCTCTTCTTTCCTGGCAGTGAGGTTTCTCCTGCTGCTTCTGGATCTGCTCAGTTTAATGGTAGATTGGTGAGAATAGCCAATGCTCTTGTGGATAAGCTAACACACTCTACTCATACATTCCCACCCATCCACATGGCAAAGTCAAATTTAGTGGCGAGGAAAGCTATTTTGAATAATAAACTCCACAAGATGATTGGCAGCAAAATCAGTTTTCCAGTCATAACTGAATGAGACTTTTTTTTACCTTTAAGATTGGTAACATTTGTGTTCATCCTGTTTTCTTCTTTTCTTTGGCATATACTTAGAAGGCCCCATACTCAATCTATATTTAATTCATTAGTATAAAAATGTATGACAAAATGAACACAGGGCTTCTTGCATTAGAATTTTAATCCTCAAGGCCAGATTGGCGCAGGCAGACTAAAAGTGTTCAGAGTGCTTCATGAGAGGAGCAGTGAAAAGAAAAGGTTGAGTAGAGAGGCTTTCGGTACTTGTAATATTTTAGTTAGTAGTAATGCATCTTATATTTTGTTTTACATGTAGGGAATTCCAAATGAAAGCTGGAGAATAACAAAGGTAAATGAGCGATATGAGTTGTGTGATACCTACCCTGCCCTCTTGGTTGTGCCAGCCAATATTCCTGATGAAGAATTAAAACGTGTAGCATCGTTCAGATCAAGGGGCCGTATTCCAGTAAGTATAAAGCTTTAAGGAGTCTTTGCAAATACTTTTGTACTATATACAATACTGAGATTAATGAATGGGGGAATGAAGAACTTAAACAAAAGCAGAGCCCAGGCATGGATGCAAGATAAAAGTTAGCTGTAGCAGCAGGTCTTTTATCACAGATTGAGTTATTTAGTAAATATATATATAACCAGAGGAGTAACTTCAGTAAATTTCTGGGGTGTGGTGTAAAGTATAGAGAAATTCATAGAATTGTGTGATCGATCTCTGGAAAACAAAGTTAGCCATGTACATTATTTACTGTGTACTCTCTTTCTTTCTCTTTTTTAAAAAAATGCTTCAACATTCTTGGCACCAGCAGTCAGGAAATCAAAAAGCGTATCACGATGGGAAAGTCTGCTGTTAGGGACCTCTCTAAAGTACTCAGGAGCAACAGTGTCTCTCTGGAGACTAAGGTGCGCCTGATACAGGCCATGGTCTTTGCAATCGCTTGTTATGCATCAGAGAGTTGGACAATGACTAGGGAGGACAGAAAGAGAGTGGGTGCTTTTGAGCTGTGGTGCTGGAGAAGAGTACTGAATGTACCATGGACTGCCAGGAAAACAAACAGATTCATCTTGGAGAGGATTAAACCAAGTTACTCCTTGGAGGCAAGGATTCTGGGGTTTCGTCTGACATACTTTGGACATGTTGCCAGGAGGGACGGGTCCTTGGAGAGGGACATCATGCTTGGGAGGGTGGAGGGACGGCGCAGGAGGGGAAGACCCTCTATGAGATGGATTGATTAGGTGACTGGGGTAATCGGGATGGGTGTGTCAGAAGGCAGTGCGGTTGGCGCAGGATAGAGCAGGATTTAGGGCTGTTGTGCATAGGGTCGCTATGAGTCACAAACGACTCGGTGGCACATAACAACAACAACAACAACAAATTTGACAAATTGATGGTGAATGCCTGATCCCAGGAAGATCAGTCCAAATAGCTTCAGGTACAAAATTCAAGTTTCATCATTTCTGACGACCTTATAGTTGGGTGATTTTGCTAACCAGTACTAAAAGTTTAAAAGTGACATTTAGTTAGGCTCTATTAATGTGTCTTTTTTTTCCTAGAAATAACACTTCCCAGTATCAGTTTTATAAAAGCTTATTAAAGAACTAGGACCAAGTTTTCCAGGTGCTAGAGGTAGCTGTAAAGAAAGGTGATGATTTTTCCTCTGGAATGTTTCCATGGCTAGGCATGGATCCAACGAAAAAGCCAAGCTCTCTGGAATAGTGTTTTTGGAGAGCAGTACGATGCAATGTCTGTGTCACCATTTTTCCCGTTAAGGTTCTTTCGTGGCTTCATCCTGAAAGTCAAGCTACGATCACCAGGTGTAGCCAGCCCATGGTAGGAGTGAGCGGGAAGAGAAGTAAAGAAGATGAAAAGTACCTTCAGGCCATCATGGACTCCAACGCCCAGTCTCATAAAATCTTTATATTTGATGCCAGACCAAGTGTTAATGCTGTTGCCAATAAGGTGAGATTGTTTCCACTTTCCTTCATTAAGCTCATTTTAAGCAGGTTTCATACATCAGCCATGTTTGGCAGTAACCACAGTCTAGCAGAAAGAGTTCTTTCAGATTTTAGAATAACGAAGATGTAGATTACAATCCTAGTATTCCTTCTTGATTGTTTTATAATTTTAAGATAATTATACAATCTTTTTGACCTTAGTTTTCTCATTTGAAAAGTGAGTGTTATGGATTGAATTGTAACTTCCCCAAAATATGTGCTGTAAATCCTAACCTCTGTATCTGTGGTTTGACCCCATTTAGAAAGGGGTTGCCTTTGTTATGTTGATGAGACAGTATTAGTGTAGGATATACCTTAAATCTATAATCTTTTGACTAAAAAAAAACATTAACAGCCAGTGGAAGGAACAAAGATGTGGAGAAGACAGATGTCAAGACCACAAGAAGATGCCACGACCAAGAGCAGCCAGAGCTGACAGAAAAAAAAGCTTTCCTCTCGAGACTGTCCCCTGATTCAGACTTTAGTCTGCTGAACTGTGAGAAAGTAAATATCTGAGTGTAAAGCCACCTGTTGTTGTTGTTGTGTGTTATGTGCAGTCTAGTTGCCTGCGATTCATAGTGACCCTAAGTACAACAGCCCTAAGCCCTACTCTATCCCCTGCCAATCTTATTGTCTCTGACAAACCTATCCCCATTACCCCAGTCACCTAATCAGTCCATCTCATTGAGGGTCTTTCTCTCCTGCGCTACTCGGGATATTTCCGTTATGGTTGTTGTTAGACGCTGTCAGGCTGACTCCAGCTCATAGTCCGTCACTCTGTGTAAAAACAGATCAACATCGTACCTCATTCTATGCCATCCTCACAATCTCCACCATGCTTAGTTGGTTGTAACAGTCCCTGTGTCTGCCCATCTTATGGTGAATCCATCTTTCCTTTGCTGATCCGTGACTTTTTCAAAGATAATGTCCTTTTTCAAGGACTGGCATCTCCTCATAACTTGCCCAAAGTCTCATTGTCTTTACTTCTTCTGAGCATCCTGGCTGCACAGATTCTATGACCCTGTAGTTTGACAGTCCATAGTCCATTCAGTACTCCTCACCAGCACCACCATTTGAAGAGATTTATTTGTTGGCCTTCCTTAGTCTTTGTCCAGCGTTTACGTGCATAGGAAGCAATGGAAAATTCTGTTACAGTAGCTAGCACTAAGTAACAGTGATGCTGAGAATAAAAAGTTATGATTATTTTAAGAGTTTAAAAAACATTAATAAAAATTAGTACATAACCATAGTTACATGGTACATTGTTAGCATTTATTCGTTTATTTCCCTATTCTCCAACTTCATGAATTATGCTTAAGTTCTTATACAGCACTGCTCTAAGAGTTAAAGCAGTGTTCTCACTCACTGTTACTAATGACTTCCCTCGACCTGTGAAGTTACTCGGTCTCCAAAGAACTTACAGTTAGCTGTAACAATAGTCCTGATTGCTCTTGTAGAAGGTTTGCATAATGGAGTGGAAATTTGAATTCTTTGACGTAGTTTACTAAATAAAACAGGAAATAATAGGAACAACTTGTTTTAAAAAATTACCTTTCTGTTACTCCCTCCGATTTATACGTGTACATTATCTCGCTCTAGATTTGTATGTGGTTATACAAATTACACCTCTCACATACATGGTTATATATCTTTGAAATAAAATCAGGTAATTGTAATTTTTTGTTGTTGTTCTTTAGTATCTTTAAATATAAACTGATAAAGTGTTAATAAGCTTTTTAAAAAAGGCATAATTGTGTATAACAACAATGACATTTCAACCAATCTGTAAAAGCATTTGACAAGACATTGAATTACCATAGGCACCAGTTGTTTCAAATTGGGATCTCTATCCCAGTATCTTACATAGTGTATTTGATATAGTTAAAAATTCTGAAAATAGGACTCCAGGTTGCTGAGTTCCAAATGTGAATGATACACTTTAAACCTACTTTTGCGCAAATAATTCAAGTTTTCTTAAGGTAGGAAATACTATAATACAGGAAGCAGCCCCTGCCGAGAGGAAAGGTGATGATACATTCAGAAAGCAGTTTTCATGCTCAGAATCTGCCGTGAGTGAATGTTTCCGTTACCTGTGTGGTTTTTTCCTTTTGTTTTACCTACCAGACTTTGAAACTCACATCATGCCCTATGTGCTCTAAATATGTCAGCTTCATTTTTTAAAAATTTTTTTAATTTTATTATTATTTTGTGTGTCTGTGTACCGTCAAATCAGATCTGACTGGTACAGGAGGAGATTGTCCCTCCTTTCCTGGCAGGGCATCTGGTGGATTCGAACCATGCGCCTCTGGGATTGCAGTGCAGCTTCTTGCCACTAGACTACCAGAGCTCCCCTTGTCAGCTTCATTTTAAGGAAAACGTATTTCTCTTAAGAATTCACACTTGCCTAAGCCAATCACCCATGTTTGTCCACTGGAGCCACGTAGTCAGTCTGTTGCTGTGTGTTGAGACCCTTCCCTTTCCAACAAAACCCACTGGCTTGATTGCAGAAACTCCTGCTGCATAACCACGTCTTTGTAATAACAACTTTATCTTCAGTGCATATTATGGCATTTATATATCTGCCATGCAGCCTCCTTTCTAGTTAAGTGCTAGCCTTAAAAAAAAAAAACCCCAAAAAACCCCCACCCAGATATACCTAATAATTTTAAAAACAGAAATCTTCCCTTCACCAAGTAACTCTTTTCTCAGATAAAGGTAAAATGTATAGTTTATAAATTATTATGCAAGTCCTTTTTTAAAAACTTTATATCCCTCAAACTCTTTACTCCCAAATAGCCTGACTGTAATGACTATTATTGCTGTTTCTTTAAGGTAATTGCAACTTTTAAAACAAATACTGTTATCTTTCCATATCAATAAGTATCGTCTGCAACATTAGTTTTAGTTGCATAGTAAAGATAAAGGCAATTATTACTGGATATTTAGGTTGGTTTTGGTTTATTTTTTCCCTTTCTGTTAGAAATAGTATGGGGTGATCATCTTTTTACCTAAGTGCTTTCATCCTACTCAGCTTTTCAAGGACATTATATGTTTAAGACATTCCCTGTAAAATTATAAATAATCCCTCTTAACAGGAGTTAAGAGAGGGATATGCCATCCTAAACCATTATCAGTTACTTCAGTTACAGGGAACAAAGATAAAATTAGATGTGTTCAGAGCCCATAGTCAAGAGTCAGTCATACATTCTTCTAGAAACTGTTTCCTTTCTAAACTTTGCACTATGAATTAGAAGGAATGAGATTTAGGATTGTTTTCTGGTTGGTAAACTCAGAGAGAGAGCGGTATTAGGCAGAAAAGGAGATAGGAAAGTATTGTATTCCTCGTCATACTATTTTTCACATCATTCACAAACACATATGACTGTAGAAATTCCATCTTTATTATTTTGCAAAAGTATATGTTCTTGTTGCAATCATTTTTAAAAAAGCTCCACAATAAGACTTTTTTTTCTAGCTTAAGAAATTTTGTAATGGCACATATTCTTTTGACCCCATGACCCGCATCATGAATTAAAACTTTCTCAGCCACTAAGCTCTCCAGAATGTTCCTTAGAAGCAAAGATGGTGATGCTTTCTTTGTCTTGTATCCTTTGGTCATATTTGAGGAGGGGTCTGTTCCTGGAGATAGACATTAAGCTTGATAAAGTAGAGAGTACAAAAGAGGAAGACCCTCAACAAGATGAACTGATGCAGTGGCTGCAACAGTGGTTCAAACAGCACTGAATTCAAGAATGGCACTGGAGCAGGCTGTGCGCGTAGAGTCTGTATTATATTGGGATCATTTCTTTGCATTTCTTTATGCTTTCCCTGCCAAAATATATTTTCCTAGACTCTGAAGTTGAGTATACCTTTTCCCTAACTTTTCTCTCCATACTACTATTATTGTTTAATCTGTAGAGTATCTTATATGCTTAATTTTGCCCAATTTATGCTTTTAAAATGGGATAAAACTTGCCTCTGTACTCTGAATTTCCTTCAGATTTTACAGATAAACCCAGAAGTTTTTTCATATGTAGTTTGAGCTCTTTGGCAAGACTGTAGGCTACCATCAACAACCATAAAGTAGTAATTAGGAAATCAAAAGACATGTTGCATTGGGAAAGTATGCTGTCAGGGCCTTCCCCAAATAAAGAACAACTAATATTAACAGAAAAATCCCACTGGAACATGTATATGATTTAGTATTCCCTTCTTACAGTTACTGTCAAGTTGATTCCAGCTCCTGGTGACCCTAAACGTTACACAGTAAATGGCTCTTTAGGTTCTTTTTGCCGTTAATTAAACAGAAGTAGATCTCAGGACTCTCTTACGTAGTGCTACTGTGTGAGTTCTAGGTGTGTTTGAACCTCCATCCTCTAGGTTAGCAATCAAGAACAAACCTTTTATGCCACCTAGGAAACTTAGACGTTGCCTAGTGACTAGTATATGTCTCATTTTCCATGCTGCGGGGTCTTTTATGATATTTTAATAATGTCCACATACAATGTTCATTAATGATCTCCTGTGATGTGTGCCTTTTTCCAGGCAAAGGGTGGAGGTTATGAAAGCGAAGATGCCTATCAAAATGCAGAACTAGTTTTTCTTGATATCCACAATATTCATGTTATGAGAGAATCGTTACGGAAGCTTAAGGAGATTGTGTACCCCAACATTGAGGAAACTCACTGGTTGTCTAACTTAGAGTCTACTCATTGGCTTGAGCACATTAAGGTGAGTATATATTACTGTTGTTTGGAGTTGCTGAAAATTTTAGCTTTCCTAGACCACACTGTCTTTGAGAGTTGGACCTGCTGCTTTAGTTTTGCCTGCCTTGCTAGAAAGACATGGCCCAATCTCCACCCTTAGTTCCCCTAGGGTGTTGTCTTTTCCCTAGCATGTGGCTAAAGAAGCTCTTAACTGTAACTCTTTGGGTGTTTTTCTTTGGCTCACCTGGGATAGCTACAGCCTCAACATCTGTGTGAGCTTCCCGAAGCCTTCCTAATCGTTGAGCTGGACGAAATACTGATGCATGGTCTGGGGTTGAGAGGAATCCGGGAAATGCTATATTGATAGAATGATGAGGTGGTGTGTTGGGTTAAATGTTGAAACATTTTTCATCCTCCGTGTTGGATTGTGATTGTATTTGGTGTTACTGGTGGGATTCTTTGGAAGGATCAACACTCACTGTAACATGTGGCTTTGGAGAATATGGGGTAAATAAGAGAATGAGAAATCTTTGGTTTCTGAATGGGATAAGGAACACTCATTTGATTAATGCAGCCATTGTGTTGTACCCAAGCCAAGTTATTCATGGAGTGTGAATTCAATGGACTTAACTCCTGAAGAATTGAGTAACTGTATACATGTAGAAAGAGAGAGAGAAAGAACAAAGGTTGTAATTACATCATTTCTACTATCAGTACTGGCAGCGAATGTGAGGGTAAAAAGAATATAGGCATTAAGATTGATAATATCAGCATTGATTCTATTTTCCTACACGCATATAGAATATCAAACAAGAATGGTTTTTCCTGTTTGTGTTGATTCTTTATCTTCCATTAAAATCCACATAATGGTATCTTTCTAAATAGTGAAAAATTAACAGTTACTATGATAAATTTTTATACTTGAGTTATTTTCCCGTATTATGTAGTTGGTTCTATCATACTTTCCCCCCTGCTATTTCTCACTTTATCTGAATTCTGCATGTCAGATTACAGTCCATAATTTGTTTCTTCCATACCGTCTTCCCGGATCACAGCCATTTCCATTTTTTGTGAACTTTTCAATTTCCTTCTGCCTCTGCATTTATTCAAGGTACTATTTGCACTTCATATAATTATTATTTGCAAACTAAGGTATATTACTAACTCATGAAATTCTTTTCTCCCCTCTTTGGGAGGTAGGACAGCACTGTCTGTGTAAATAATAGACAAACAGTAGATATCTGTTGCATCATCTATAAAGTAAAGACTATTCTTGTCAGGGAAATGAGGTGGCATAGTTGAATGAATAATCTCTTTGAATGTAAAATCATGTGGAACCCATGTTGTAAATAATAATTTGTTTGCTATTGTGAAAGCAGGAGCACAAAATAAGGCTCCAGGAACTAATGGAATATCAGTTATGGTGTCTTAGCATATAGAGGCAGCTTTGAATATGCTCAAACATTTATGCTAAAATCATTGTAAGAGATCCATTTTTTTTTGCCCATTCTAAAAAAAAAGTGATCCAAAAGGGTGTAGAAATTATCCATGTCCTAAATAAAATGTCCTAAATAAAATTTTGATGAAGATTATGAAAAAAAAAGGGGGAGCAGTACATGACAGAGTACAGTGAAAAACTCAGGCTGGATTCAGAGGAGACCTTGAAATGAGGGGAATAATTTCTGTGTCAGGTGGAACTTGCTCTAAAACAAAGAATATCAGAAAGATATTTACTTAACGTTTTATTGACTGTACAAAGATTTGACTGTATGAATCATAATAAATTATAGATAACATTGAAAAGAATGAGAATTCCAGAACATTTATTTATGTTCTTTAAAAACCTGTTTATGAACCAAAAAACAGATACCACATGGTTTTATATCAGGTGAGGTATGTTACAGAATGGAATCCTTTCAACATACCTATTCACTATGTATGATTATTTGTTCCTCTTCCGAAGAAAGGTGATCCAACAAAATGAGGAAATGGTTGAACAGTATCATTAATATCACAGGCAAGCAAAATCATTCAAAAAGTACTAGATCAGTATATAGAAAGAGAATTTCCAGGTGTTCATGCAGAATTTAGAAGAGGGTGTGGCACTAGGGGTATCACTGCTGATGTCAGATGGATCCTGGCTGAAAGTAGGGAATAGCGCCATTGGTGTTTCCGACATGTGGATGATCCTGGCCAGACTGCAATTGTTGAACCTTGTTTTCCCCACCTCTTTGCCTCTTCCCCAGAAATATCTGAATAAAACAGTTTGATCTTAAAAAAAATAATAATAGGGAATACCTAAAGAATGTCTCTTTATGCTTCATTGACTGTGTAAAGGCATTTGGCTGGATCATAAAAAGTTACAGCTAACATTGAGAAGAATGGGAATCCCAGAGCACTTAGTAGTGCCCATGTGAACCCTAAATGTAGACAAAGAGGCTAGTGTGTGAACAGAGCAAGGGAACACTACATGGCTTAAAGTTAAGAAAGATGTGTGATAAGGTTGTATTTTCTATCCATACCTGTTCAACCTATATGCTGAGCAAATTCTTCAAGAAGCTGAAATCTGTGAAAAAGAAAATGGCATCAAGATCAGAAGATTACTCCTCAGTAATCTGCTTTATGCAGATGATACAATTTTGCTTGCTGAAAGTGTGGACTTGAAGCACTTGCTGCAGAAGATCGACGAATACAGCCTTCAACATGGATTGCATCTCAACATTAAGAAAAGAAATATTGTTACCATTGGACCAATAGGCAGCATCATGACAGATGGAGAAAAAATTTGTCAACAATTTCATGTTATTTGGATCCACAGTCAACACCCTTGGTACCAGCAGTCAGGAGATCAGCAATGTATTGCAATGGAAAAATCTACTGTTAGGGACATCTCCAAATTACTCAGGAGCAGTGATCTCAGTTTGAGGACTAAGGTGTATCTAACTCAGGCAGTAGTCTTTCTGTTCACCTGCTGTGCATCTGAGAGCATGACATTGAGTAAGGAAGACAGAAGAATTAATGCCATTGAGCTATAGTGTTAAAGAAGACCTCTGAGTATTCCATGAACTGCTAGAAGAACAAACTAATATATCTTTGTGAAAGTACAGCCAGAGTGACCCTTGAAGGCAAAGATGTTAAATGTTTATCTCACTTACTTCAGGTATGTTGCTAGGAGAAACTGTTTTTTTGGAAAGGGATATTATGCTTGGAAAAATGGAGTGGTTGTCGAAAGTGAGGAAGACCCTCAACCAAATGGATTGACATAGTGACTGCTGTAGTGGTCACTAGTGTGTCAGGAAGTCTGAGGATGACACAGGATACAACAGAGTTCAGACTGGTTGTTCATAGGGTCGCTATGGGTAGTACTCGACTTGGTGGCCCCTGACAACAACACTGCCACCACCACCACCACCAACATTCATTATGTAAACTGAGAAATAGTTAGAGAAGCCTGACTATATGAAAAAGATCATGGCCATAGGGTTGGGGGAAGAAGAATCAACAACCTGTATTATACAGATGGCATAGCCTTGTTTGTGGAAAGTGGAGAGAACTTGAAGCACATCAAAGACTACAACTCTCAGTATGGATTACACCTCGGCATCAAGACAACAAAAGTCCTCACAGACAGGCCAAAATATTAAGGAACAGTGATGTCTCTTTAAAGACTGAAGTGTGTGTGCTTCAGGCTATGGTCTTTTTAATAATTTTCTGTGCGTCTGAGATCTGGACCATGAATAAGGATGACAGAAGAAGATCTTATGTCTTTGAACTGTGATTTTGGAGAAAAGTACTTAATATCCCATGGACTGCTAAGAAAGTAAACAAACATGTCTTGCAGAAAGGAGAAAATTCAACCATAGAGCTACATGGGGATGTCAAAGAGGGTGAAACCAAGTCTCTTCTTGGAGGCTAGGATTTTGAAGCTCTTAACTTTGGGCACATGGCCAGGAGAGACCGGTCCTTGGAGAAGGACATCATGCTCTGGAGGTTGGATGGACAACGCAGGAGAGGGAGATCTCGGATGAGATGGATTGATACAGTAACTGGGGCAATGGAGGTTGGTGTGTCGGAGTCAGTGAGACTGGCTCAGAACAGGGAAGGGTTCAGAGCTGCTATATGTAGGGTCGCTATACATCGCATGAGGCTCAAGGGCACATAACAGCAGTAACATATTATGACAGGTTTGGAAGCAGGTGTGGCATCCACTACCTAAGCAACATGCCTCCAGCAACTCTATGAACTTTAATAAATGTCAGTAGTTGTAGAGGGGCCTTCAGGTCCTTTGTTCATAGAGTCACTATGAGTTGTACTCGACTCGAAGGTAATCAACAACAACAACAACAACAACAACTACAACATTCACTTTCTATATCGAAGATGAGGATTTAGTACTCTTGCACTTCATTATTCCATGCCCCATTTTATCCTTTTTTAAATATTAAATTTTATTAATTTTAATGAACATTTACAG